TGGAGGTTATATTCAGTCCTAGGCAGGTCTTTTAATTTGCTTCCCAGCCCTGGGGAGGCTGTAGAACAGGCTTGTGGCTGGTACGGCTCATTGGGTGGGGACCCAAATCATGTGGCATTGTCCACTAAGATCCCTGGCCAGACAGGGCCACTAGCTTAACTTTGCAGATGGGCACAGCCACTGGCTAAGATCTCCACTTGGGTGGTGTTGCAAGGAGGAGGGTGGTCTGCCAAGTGCTGGTTGCTGTATATCCTGTCCTCCCCTGGATCCCAATATGATCTCCAGTGGTCAAGTCCCCTTTCTTGTGACAAGACCCAAGTGGGCCTTCTGGGAAGCAACCCATTACACTGAGGGAGCTGGGTATCCACTTTGGTCTCTTTCCCTCTGGAGACACTGTAGGCCCAGGAGACCCTTTTACTGTGGCTCTGTGCCTGCCTTGGAGAGGTGATGTGATCAGAGTGTAGCCACTCCTCTTACCTTTCTAATGCACTGTCCTTTTCAGTCTCTGTGGTCCAGGAGGGTTCTTCACCCTCACCCCTGTGTTCTGGAATTTTCACAACAGCTTCTTGTCCATGGATAGTTGCTAATTGATCTTCTTGTGAAGGGGACTGAAATTAGCAACAACCTATATCACCATCTCAATGACATCACTCCCCAAAAGACACCATTTGTAATAGGAAAAGGAGGGACAGGGAGAAGATATTCACAGTACATATATTTGATAAAGGACATGTATCTAGAATCTGTAAAGAACCCTTATAACTCAGTAAGACAAACATCCCAATATAAAAACTTTGAATAGACACTTTACAAAAGAAGATATCTAGTTGGACTATAAATAAATGATGTTCAACATTATTAGTCCTTAGAGAAATGCAAATTTAAGCTAATATGTATAATCTATATAATTTCTCTTAAGTCACTGTTATTTTTGGCTGTCTAATAAAAATCATATTTGAAACTATTTTAAACTATTGATGACTTTGAAAGTTTTATTTGTTAAGGTACTTTTGTCCCCTCTTATTTCTGCTTGCAGTGCTTATTGTGGATCAAGATGGCAAAAGTAGTTCTCGAATATGTGAAACACTGGTTTCTGGGCTTCAGACTAGATGTAAGGAATCGCATTATGGCGGTAGGGCCCTGGAATCTGCTTTTCTACAAGCGTTTCTATAGCTGATTAAGGTGTACGTAGACCACAAAGCATCCTTTGAGAAATACTGGGCCAAAGAGTATACCTTTTGCTTCGGTAGTAATTGCCTTTAGGAAAACCTTTAAAATTTCCTAGTTTAAAAAAATTCCCAAACCTCCATGAAGCCTTTATTTGCTTTATTGGGGAGCTACATGCTGAACTTTAACCTGACAGTCCACCAAGCACCATAGACCATGGCCCACAAGATTTCTTGTATCTTTCCAGTCGTTCCCTTGCTTGAAGTCAGGGAATAGTCTTTTTGCATCTCCTTATCCCCAAGTAAATAATAAGAATACAAATATTTGAGACTTTCAAACAAATACAATCACTGGAAACCATAAAATCATTCAATATACTATTATAATGTCTCAGATTCTGTTTCTTTGAAATTGGCAGAGTACCATTTTTCACATTACTTCTGCCCCAGTTTCTTTTTCAACATTAAAGATTTGCAAACTTTGTTTCTGTTATTAAAGTGCTAAACAATGCCATCCCCTTTTAAAATAAGCATAGTAGCAAACATCTTAGCTGTGGATACATGATAACTGTTACTGGATTTTTGTTGTTTTGTTTTTTAAATAAGTTTATACCTATGACAACTGGTGTTGTGCCCACTGAAATACTAAACTGTTTCTTAGACATAAATCTGCTATTGTTTTGAAAATACACATTTATTTATGAGGGAATCATCTTTTATGCATTGGTCCTTCTCTCGTATTTTGTAAGAAATCTGTAAAGAACAATTGTGGGACACTGCTGGATGCTGCTTCTGTGGAGCATTTTTTGGGAGGTCTTAGCCCAAACAAGGCATAAAAAATGAAAACAAGGTCTAAGGATTTAAAAAGAAGAAATACAATTGTTGTTACTTGCAGATGAATTTATCTACAGAGGCAACCCAAAGTATTGATTATTTTGGCAGCACATATAGTGCCGGAAAAATCTAAAGGTATCTAGAGATAAACTGTTAGAATTAACTTGCCAGGGACACCTGGGTGGCTCAGTTGGTTAAGCGACTGCCTTCGGCTCAGGTCATGATCCTGGAGTCCCGGGATCGACTCCTGCATTGGGCTCCCTGCTCAGCAGGGAGTCTGCTTCTCCCTCTGACTGTCCCCCCTCTTGTGTGCACACTCTCTCTCTCTCATTCTCTCTCTCTCAAATAAATAAATCTTTAAAAAAAAAGAATTAACTTGTCAAAGTGACTTGGGGTAGAAGATCAGTACACAAAAATCAGTAACTTTTTAATAGAAAGCAATACCCAGGTATATCCAGCTGCCTACTTGACATCGCATCTAGATAAGACATCTCAAATTTAAATGTTTAAAACAATAAATACACTTGAACATCTAACCCATCTATCCTTCCTCATCTCTAACCCACTTTTCCCATGTCATAACTCTGTATCCAATTTCTCAGGCCAAAATTTTAGAATTAAGTCATCCTTGGTTTCTCTCCTTTCTCTCACATTCCAAAATCAATCCATCAGCATGACCTGTTGCCTTTAGCTTCCACATATATTCAGAAAAGAGCCACTTCTCACCACCCTGCCTTGTAATCCCCCTAGACCATTGCTACCATCCCCTCTTGTCTGGACTACCGCAGGACTTCCTACTTCTACTTTGGGGCTCCTACAATCTGTTCTTGACACAGCATCCAGAATTAACCTTTTCAGATGTGTCAGATCATGTTACTCCCTTGTGGAAGACACTATAGAGGCTTTTTGTTACACTTAGAATAAAATCCAGATTCCTGCAAGGAGACTTGGCCTTTGTACTTCTCTGATCTCAGCCCCTCCCTTCCCCCTCCCTCCCGTCACTCTGGCCACTTCAGCCCTCTTGCTCCTCAGCATGCCAAGTAGATCTCCTTTCTCTCCCCAGATCTCCACCATTCAGGTCTCAGCTCGAACGACCCTCCTCAGAGAGACCTTCTCTGTTCCTACTGTGTTTGGTTTGTCCTTATTTATCCCTTATTACCTACTATGTTCTACTTTTGTCTCCCCTATTGGGATGTTAGTGCCTTCAGAGCAGGCTCTTTGCTTTGTTTCCGTACCCCCGGCCACTAGACAGCCCCCTTGCATTCGTTATATTTGTGTTGAATCAACACCACGTATATGGTTTTGTTGTATTTTTTTCTTACCTTGCCTGGCCACTTCAGACATTTCCATGTGCCATTTGAGGAATAGATTCTAAGTTCTGTGACAGGAAAAAAAAACAAACTGTATCTTAATCTAATGCAGTCAGTTCAGTGTTTATATATATGAATTAATGACTTATACACATTTACTTCATGCATTACCCTTTACCCCCTTGATTGGACTAAGATTTTATTGTTTGGGTTTCACACTCTTGAAACTAATGAGCTAATCAGCATCTCTTATTTTAAAGGTGCCAGAGAGTGTCCTTGTTATATCATGCCTAAGAGCAGAAATCAAGAGGGAGTAGATTCTGTACCTCTTGCTGAGTAGCTCCTGTCTTGGGAGAACTGTGCCACCTTTGTCCCAGTGTCTTTAGATTTATGCTTTATTAAGTAGAATCTTACATTTGCTGTTTTCCTCCTTGTTTGTGTTTTTCCTTTTTTCTGTTCAGCATATGTAGAGGGATTATCAAGCTAAAAACATCTAAGATCCTATTACTTTTAGTGCTTCGATTCTACTACTCAGACTATTTCATCTTTAAATAGTCTAAGCTAGGGGCACCTGGGTGGCTCAGTCGTTAAGCATCTGCCTTCGGCTCAGGTCATGGTCCCAGGGACCTGGGATCGAGCCCCTCATCAGGCTCCCTGCTCAGCGGGAAGCCTGCTTCTCCCTCTCCCACTCCCCCTGCTTGTGTTCCCTCTCTCGCTGTCTCTGTCAAATAAATAAATTTTAAAAATCTTTAATAAATACATAGTCTAAGCTATTTAAAGAACCGAGTTAAAGCTAAATTTCCTACATATTCTGAATGTCCTTGCCTGTTTCTAATGTATGTCCTGTATTTCCTGAATTAAATTACTATATCATTTGAAGCTGTGTTCTTCTGAATTATGTTGATGGAAGTAAAGTTTTACAGAATGGTTTTGCTCTAACATCATTTCTTAAAATATTATCTACTATTTAGAAACTTCAGTGGCTTACTGAATTTCTGACTTTCTCAGTACTTAAACAGATGACCTGAGGCATGTGGACACCCCCCATCCCCCCCAGGGTATTTCTGTGTCGCATCATTGTTAGGTCATGGCAAGGACTAGGCTTGCTGTTCAGAAATTGGTTTTAGTGAGAAGTTCTAGTATCAAGTGGGATAGTGAAAAATAATACTCAAATAGATCAGTGTGTTCTAAACTCTCAGATGAAAAAGATATTTCAGTTCTTAAAAGTTTCTATCCCACAAAATTCATTTTTGTTAGTTCCTTTGCCACTCTAGTTAAAATGTGATTGTGGTTTTTGTTTGTATACTGTATTGTCTGCCAAGTATGTGTAGTTGTGTTGACTATTTATTGTTCATTGTGCATGTATCAAAAAAGAAAATCTAAGTGAGCATATAAAGATATATTGTTATCAACTATTTCAACAAATTAATTTCAACATTGAGTCTACCTGAGCATTTTCTGTTTTCATATACTTTTGAATAGGAAAAATACTCTCCTTTTTTTTTTTTCATTTTTAAAAACACACATTTATTGATTTCCTCTATTAAGAAAAGTAATGCACATTCCCAATAGAAGGTTAGACTACACTTAAAGATACTTTGTTGTGACAAAACTCAAGTGTCTGACTTCAGTTTTGGGGTATATATTTTTTAAAGAATTGTTTCTTATACTCTTTTCTTTTTACTTACAGTATATCTCTGTACCGGGGTAATTGCAGACCTATACGATTTGAGCCACCAATGCTGGATTTCCATGAACAGTAAGTTTAAAATATTCAGACCATAGTTTCCCATTAAAGTATAATGTGTATTTTATGCATTTATTTGTCTTGCTTTTTACCTGTGTTATCTCTCTGAGAAAGTTAAATTTTCAAGTACAAGAAAACAATGTTGTTGAATGCAGTTTGAAATGGGAAATCCCCCTCCTTGTGTGCGCTCGCTCTCTCTGGCAAATAAATAAATAAAATCTTTAAAACAAAACAAAAAAAGAAAGAAAGAAAATGGGAAGCAAGTATCTATTATGGGTCTAACATATAATACTAACTTTTGAAGTTTGAAAAATACCCACCTAATAAAGTCCCTGGTTCAAAGGATCCTATCTTGAGAAGCAGCATAAAACTTCTAGGTTACTTTTCTGATTAGTAATTCATTTCCACTTCTATTTAAAATTTTCCATGTGGATATAGAAAGATGTATTATTTATTTGTTTGCATGTGCTTTTAAAGTACAAACTTCTATTCGACACCAAATAAGTAGTATTATCACTAACCCAAAAGAGCAAACAAAAGAAAATCCTGCAGAAAGACGTGGTTCAACCACAGAATTGCTTCTTCAAACCATATTTCTGGCTTCCCTTCTACCTCTGAGCCTCAGGTTTTGCACATCTCAGATACACTGAGGAAAAGACAAGTCTTCACCTGTATTTGGTTCCAATCTAATTCAGCAAGTAGATAAAGAAAAACTCTTAGTGCTAGAGCACATAACTGCTAGAGCAATGCCACTCTGGTAAACTAGCAGGAAAAAAAAAGAATTTAAAAGGGAAGTGGTGGAGAAACTGTATATAGATCTATTTGATTCAGTAAGTGAAAATTATAATTTTCTTTAATGTCAGAGTTGTAATTAACCATTTTTTACTAGTAAACACATGAAGTTTAAATAATTTATTTACAATCTCAAACCTAGAATAATCAAATACACTAATTATATTTGTACAGAACCATGGTAGAGTAGCTAGCATAAAAAGCAAGATATCTGATAGCGACTCCCATCTTTTAAGACTATATTCCTACAGAGATCATGGATTTTAGGGGTAGCAGTGCAGAGAGAAGTTTGTATGGTTCTTTGTGCACTTTTAGATGGAATCAGTATTTTGGAATAGTCATTATGTAAGTAAAAGTGCTTCTGGGTGTTAGATTTAAAGATCATAATATTTAAATGGGAAACATATCACTATCATTTCTGTCTTACAAAAACGGTTTAGGGGGGCGCCTGGGTGGCTCAGTTGGTTAAGCGTCTGCCTTCGGCTCAGGTCGTGATCCCAGGTTATTGGGTTTGAGCCCCACATCGAGCTCCCTGCTCAGCGGGGAGCCTGCTTCTCCCTCTCCCTCTGCCGCTCCCCCTGCCTGTGCGTACTCTCTCTCTCTGACAAGTAAATAAATAAAATCTTAAAAAAACCCAAAAAACAGTTTAGGTATATAATGTCAAGATTGCAAGGAACATAAAGTAGAGGCCTTAAGCCAGTCACAATAATGTGTAACCCACAGTCTCCTTCTCTCAAATGCAAGATATTTAATGAAACATGGCACATATTTTGATCTCCATAAAAGTTCATTATTTTCTAACTATTAGTGAGTTTTCTGTCTACAGTAAAATTCTCTTAGAGTATGTTCGCTCACCCTAGAGGGGCCCAACAGAGACTAACAAACTCTGTTCTGAGACTAGGGCATAAGCTGTATTTCTGGTGCTGCATGAGGGCTAGGAGAGGAGGTTGGCATACAACACCAAAATCATTAGTCTCAAACACAGAGTATTCTTACTTGGAAAGCTTAGCAGCAACCATTCTAGGGAGATCTTGTCAAAAGTTCTACCCAGCTGTTTTTTACTTCATAATTTGATTTTTGAGAGAGTTGTACACATTTTATATATCACTTGAGATAAAGACATTTTCAGCTGTACAAAATGCCTGAATTGAAATTGGTAATTTCTGTTCCAAATGATCTCTCCCTGGACTCTTTAAATAATGCCCCACCCTGGAAATAGGAGAAATTGAGGTAAGGTCATGCAAGATTCTGGACTGGTGGTTTTAACCTTTTTTTGATCATGGATCTCTTGAGGACTAGATGAAAGCTGTGAAACTCTTCACCTCTTCAAATGCACACAAAGGCACACAGCGCTGCACATACAGACAGCATTGTGCACCCAGGTTAAGGGGTTTTCTAGACATCCCTCTCAAAGTCCATACTGGATTCTTGAGAGGTAGTGAAGAATACCTGTTCTAGGCCATAGGTTATTAAGTCACCACTACAGAACTTACTGGGATTCTGCTTATTACACTAGCAGTGCAGGTCCACTATGGTAAACTTAGAAAATACTTACCAGGAGAAAGAAGAAAGTAAGAAATTACCAGTAGTGCAGACACGCAGAAACATTAACATTGAGCTTTTATCCTTTAAGTCCTTCTTCTATGCATCTGTATTTTTTTATTGAGTCACAAAAAACATGACTGTTTTCTGAACATAAACTGTTGTATAACCTGCTTTCTAAACATAATACATTGTGCATTTTTTCTTTATTCCATTCAATTATCTGTTACTTTCTTTTATGGTATTAAAGAACATCAAATTGTATGGATATATTTGTTCAATTCATTTCTTGTTTTATATTGTTTAAACTTTTTGTTGTTATAATCAGTGCCGAAACTAATGATTTAAACACAGCATGACTTTATCCTCAGGAGAGAGTTCTAAGAATGGAGTTGTGGGATGAAAGGATATGCAAAATTTAAAGGTTTTCAGTTAATATTTAGGCTAGAGAATAATTTGGTGTCATGAACAAAGAGAACTGATAGGAACTGAAATATCATGAGAGAAACTGGAAGTTTATTGAGGGTGTGCAGATGGACATGTGAACTCCAGTGCAAGCTGGGCTAGGTAATACAGTGAAGAAAATTATTTGAAGCATAGCATGAGCTCTTAGTTACAGCACAGGAAAGGTATATAGTAGGTATACTGAACTATTCCGTAAGCCAGCAAATTTACAAGGTGCTCCAAAATAGTGGAAACAAAAGAAAAAGAAAATGATTCTCCCATTTTAAACTTTTCTGCGTCCAGTCTGAGAGCACTGAATGGAGCTGGTTTTATCTCACAAAGGTAGAAGTAGGAGTTGGAGGCAAATGTGAGCACATGTGTATTAGGGTTCAATCAGTCAGATTCTGTATGTGTGTGAGTGAGTCAGTGTATGTATATATATATGTATATGTGTGTGGAGTTTTGTGTATTGGCTTATACAGTTGTGGGAGCTGGTTAAGCAAGCCCAAAGTGTACAGGGGCAGGCAGTCAGGAAGGGAAGATCATGAGTAAGTGCTGAAGCTTGATGTCTGCAGGCAGGCTCTCAGGGAAGAGCCTGAGGAAGCAAAGCAGTTGCAGATCCATCTGTTGTTTGGAGCCTCTTAGCTCAGGCAAGGGCTAAGTTCTCTTTGAAAGGGCTTCCAACTATTTAAGACAAGCCTACCTAATCTCTCTTTTAATTAATTTAAAGTCAACTGATTAGGGACTTGAATTATATCTGCAGAATCCCTTCCCAGCAGCACCTACGTTGGTGTTTGAGTGAATAACTGGGAGAAGTTACTGTATGCTACAAAACGGCGGCTGCCTCCCTTCCATGTTCCAGCTCTCAGGAGAGAGCATCCCACATAACCCACCCTAAGCAGAAATGTATGAGGGAGTTCTGGGGACTGTAGTTCAGCCCACTCAAGTCGGTAGACCACAGAGCCACCATGTGGATGTAAACAGAGAGGTTCCTAAATTTAGAACTTTGACCCTAGAAGATCACAGGCAATGTGACTGGAAGAATTTGCCTTGCCATTTTAGAGCTACATTTCTTCTTATGAAAGTTGAAAGTAGAAATTCTGGTACAAAGGAAGTGAAGTTGTGCGTTTGCACTGCAGAAGGTAAATTATTGGTGGGTCAGGAAGTAACCAATTGCCAAAGGAAATCAGAGAGGTTTTAGGATACATCCTCCTTTAAAGTTATTCTATGTTTGGCTTCCTTCCACTCTCAGAAGCATAAAGCTTACTTGATTGGAATTTTTTCCTGCATTGACCACTTGTCTTTCTGCCTCAAAAATCCTTGCTCTTTCTTAAATAAAGTATCATTATTTGGAAAAAATCAGAGTAGAATACGTTAGTACAGAGCGGCCCCTTACACGCCCATTAGTTACCTATTCAACATCTCCCCTCACCTTTTTATTAATACAACCCCAGGTTTTTCAGTTATCCAGCCCTTAGGACAAGTGACCCTGTCTCCAGCTCAGGAGTATTCCTGATTAATCTGAGTCAATTGTAATACTCCCATTCTTGTTTATGATCAGTTCAGGGGTGGACGTGTGACCCAGGTCTACCCAAAAATATGAAGTCGGGTCTACTAAAGGATTTCTGGGAATAGGTTTTTTTTCCCCCATTCTAAAAAAGAGACTTAAGAAAGAATTACCCCTCTTCCATGCTGGATATTGTCTGCATGCAATGCCTGGGGTACTATGGCAACCATCTTGCAATCCATCAGAGGTGCTAGGCTGAGGATAAAGCCAGCAAAATTTGTCTGAGAGTAGAAAAATGGAAAGAACTTGCGTCCTTGATAATAGTGTTAAACTGCAGAATTAATTGACCCTGGAACTGCCCTACTTTAGGTCTTTTTGTTAGGTAACCTTAATAATCTTGTCTTTCTTTGTCTCTTGTAGAATACATGACACCACTGACTTCCTCCTTCTCAGATCTTTCTTGGCCTCTACCCTTGTGAACCACACTGTTTTCTTCCTGTGTCTTAAAGCCATTTTTTCTTAGCTTCTTTCAGGGTTCTGTTCCCTGTCTATCGCCTAACTGTAGCTGCTTCTCTTTCCTCAGCCTCTTTCAGCCAACTCCACACTCTCTTATGGGTTGCTCTCTTCCACGCCCTTGACATATGCCTATGGTTTCCAAACCTGTGTCTCGTCCCTCTTCCCAAACACTACCATTTTTCTCCAACAACACCTGAAACTCAGTGTGCCC